GGAGGGAACAAATATGTGTATAAATATAAAGAAAGAGCATGAGAGAGATCTTTGGGTAATGAAATAGTTCTGGATCTTAACTGCAGTGATAATTACATGAATCCTCACATGGGATAAAATGACATAGAACTATATAACACACCTTGTGCCAATGTCAATTTACTGTTTTTCATATAGTTATATAGCAAGTAACTATTAAAAGGAAATTTGGTGAAGGGTACATAGGACCTCTTTTGAATTATTTTTATGGGAGAGTTAAATTTATTTTCAGAATCTTAACCATCATTGTTTTCATTTTATTCACTTTTTTCTTGGTATTATTTGTGTAATATCTTATGAATTTATAATTATTTCAAAATAAAAATTCCTACAACATTTTAATCAATCAATTAATTTTTGTGGTGCTGAAGATAGTATCCAGAGCTTTATGGACGTTGGGCAGGCACTACCATTGAGCTATCCCCCCATCCCTAAAACATTTTTTAAAAGAATGTGACATAAGGACACTTTCAAACATATGTTTGAAATGTTGAAAACCCTCATCTAACAGGAGACCAGCATTACAAGAAACATTAGATCTCTGTGATGGTTAATATTGTCAACTTGATGGGGCCACTGAGTACCCAGATATTTGGTCAAAAATTATTCTGGGCATTTCTGTATGAGACTAAATTTTACATCGTTAGACTGTGTAAGGCAGATCACCTTTATAATTTGAGTGTATCTTAGTTGATCAGTTAAAAAGCTGAGTAGAGAGGCTGGGATTGTGGCTCAGTGGTAGGGCGTTTGTCTAGCATGTGCAAGGCCCTGGGTTCGATCCGCAGCACCACATAAAAATAAATAAATAAAGGTATAAATTTTTTTTAAAAAAAAGAGCTGAGTAGAATTAAAGGGCTGACTCTCCCCCCAAACAAGAGAGAACTCTTCCTGACAGACGGCCTTCAAACTAAGATATCAGCTTTTTCTTACCTTCAGAGTTTAACTGAAATCTTCACTTTTCCCAGGTCTTGAGCCTGACAGCCTTCAGAACTACACCAGCAGCTCTCCTAGGTTTCCACCTTGCTGACTTACCCTGTAGACTTGCCTCCAAAGTCACGCAGCCATTTCCATAGAACAAAGTCTCCCCTTTTCTCTCTTTCTCCCTGTTCCATCTCTCCCCATTCTATACACACACACACACACACAAAATCATTGCTTCTGATTCTCTGAAGAACCCTGAATAATATAATGTTGTTCAAGGAGAAAAGTAACATAAGAAAAATAACACTTTTAAAATTTAAAAATATTTTATTTTTATTTATTTTTTAAATATTTTTTGATATAGGTGGATGCAATATCCTGCCTCAAACAAAAATAACATAAAAATAAGCATAACGCAAGATAGAATTTGAATGTAGAAAAAGAAATAAAAATCACTTGAAATGGTAACTACTGATGGAAATAAATAAGATTTTTTTCCTTATTATTTATATGTCTTTAAAAAGAAAATTAGTATTTAAACAAAATAATAAGATAGTATTGTAGTTTTATAAAATGAAATGTAAAATACATGACAATAAAACCATAAAGATTATGCTAGAAAAACTGTAAGTGTACCTTAGATAAGACAAATAAGAGGTCTATCATATAAGTTCAAGAAGTCTATCATACAAAAAAAAATCAATAAAATAAATACAATAGATACTCAAATAATTCCAAAAAGGAAAAAAAAGAGGGGGAGGGAGAATAAAGAATGATAAGACAAGAAGAAAATAAATAATAAGATGAGATCATAGACAGAAACTTAAAAATATCAGTAATCACATTGAATCTGTATATTCTGAACATCACAGTTAAAAACTAGAGATTGTCAGATTGGGTAAAGGAGTAGATTACAACTATTTGCAGCTCCAAAGAAATGCAATTTAAATGAAAATACAAAGATCTGGGGATATACCTCAGTTGGTAGAGTGCTTGTTTCCCATACACAAGATCCTGGTTTCAATCCCCAGTGCCACACACACAAAAAAGAGATTTTTCCTAACATGCTCTAGGCCCTGTGCTCATCTTGAGCATAGTAAACAAAAAAAAATTAAATAAATGAAAAGTCATAAACAGGTAAAATGACGAAACAAGATACACCATGATATCATAAGAAAGCTGAAATAGTTATATTAATATAAGATAAAGTCAATCTAGAGACATAAATTTGGATTCTATTCATCAACAAGGAAAAAAAAAACTTTGAATGAATCTCAGAATAATTTTGCTCAGTAAAGAAGCCATAAGGGGCTGGGGCTGTAGCTCAGTGGTAAAGCACTCGCCTAGCATGTGCGAGGCCCTGGGTTCCATCCTCAGCACCACATATAAATAAATAAAGATATTGTATCTAACTATAACTAAAAAAAAAAATAAATAAACATTTAAAAAGAAGCCATAAAAAAGAGTATATTCTCTGTGATTCTATTTATATATGACTCTACAAAATGAAAGCATATCAGTGGTTGCCTGGGGAAGGATGTGAGGGAAAGGTAATAAAAAGACATGAGGAAATTTGGGGAATGTTATATATACAGCCATCTCTCCATATCTAGAGGTATGAAATCCGCAGATTCAACCAAGCATGGATAAAAAATTTGAAAAATTTACATCTGTCCTGAATAGGTACAGACATTTTTCTTATCATTATTCCCTAAACAGTATAGTATAACCTATTTATATAGCATTTACATTTTATTCAGTATTTTAAGTAATTTAGAGATGATTTAAAGTATATGGAGGATGTACATAGGTTCCATGAAAATACTATGCTATTTTATATAATGGATTTGAGCATCCACAGATTTTGGTATTTTTATGAAAGTCTAGGATCAATCCCCCAGGGATACTGAAGGATGACTACCTTCTTGATTGTGATGATTGTTTCACAAGTATGTATGAATGCCAAAAGTCATCAAATTTTATACAATAAATACATAGTTTATTGTATGTCAATTATACCTTAACAAAACCATTAAAAGATGATTAAGGATATCATCATTGAATTATAGATCAATGAAAAAGTAGACAAAAATCCAAACTGATAATATACAAATAAGTAAATAATATTAAGTAAATAGGAATGGAATAGAAGGGAGAGGTTATGCTTATAGATTTCTGAGTGCAAAGTGGAGGAAGTACTGAAGTTAGGAAATAATCATTTGGCAACAATCATACTAAAGACTGGTTCAAACAAGAATGCTAACTCTAAACAAAAATTTTAATAAAAAGCAAAACATGTATGATACATTGATTTCCCTAATTAACTGTTCTTTACTTGCAAGGGAAAAATAGTAAGTATGTAGTGAGGAAACTGGACAACACCTTTGACTAGCTGATCAATATTATCATCACAATGAGGAGCAGATGAGCATCATATGCCTCGAGATGTGAAGCTCTGAGAAGGGACATAGCACCACTTATGTAGCAATATAGCTAGGAATGCATGATTTGAATTTAATCATGAGGAAACATCAGATAAACTCTAAATGAAGAACTTTCAGTTAAAACAAGATGGAATCTACTGTATTTTTCCAAATGGTCAATGACACAACACTCAAAGAAAAGCTGTGGAAAGTTCCAGTTTTGATTACAGGAGACTAAAGAGACATGACAGATAAATGCAATACCTGATCCTGATCTTTTTGGGTTTTTTATTTTTATTTTTTTGGTACTAGGGATTGAATCCAGGGGTGCTTTACTACTGAGATACATCCTTGTTCCTTTTATTTTAATTTTTTTTTTTAAATTTTGAGATAGGTTTCAGTAAATTGCTGAGGCTGGCCTTGAACTCTTGATCCTCCCACCTTAGCCTTCTGGGTCACTGAGATTGCAGGCATGTACCACAATACCCAGCTAGACTAAATATTTCATCAGAGGAAAAATGAAAATTCATTATTGAGGAGATATAGAGAGAAAGAAGTTGGGGAGAGGAGAGGGAAGGAAGAAGGAAAGGGAAGGCGAGTACCTCATAAGCTTGCAAAATATTTATAACAGGTGAACCTGGGTAAAATATACAGAGATGTTATTTGAACTATTTTTGTTCTTTCAACTTTTCTGTAAATTTGAAATTATTTCCAAATAAACCTGTTTAAAGATGTATATTGCAACTGAAATCCTAATGTACCTATTTTAGCTATGTCAGGTTCAATAACTAGGCTATTATGTCACGTGATGTGTCATGAGCAATGCAAGTGAATAATCATTACTATAAAACTGCAACTTCTGCATCCAATGAACAAAAACAAAGATGCTGGCAGAAAAACATATAGTTAGTATGCAACTTCTTGAGTCATCTTGGTCCCTATTTTTTATTAGGACTTGCATCTTAGTAAATTAAATAAATGAGTAAAAGGATACAACTCTTGAAAATGTTCCTTAATGTTTATACTTTTAAATTTAAAAAAAATATTTTAATATTAATAAAGGCTTTTCAGCATTAAATAGAGCCAGAGACAGACAGACAGGCATGTCTGTTTTATTCTTTTGTGGGCTGCCATAACAAGATACCATAAATTGTGTAACATATAAAAACATACGTTTATTTCTCACAGTTCTGGGGGCTGGAAACTCCAAATTTAAGGTACTAGCTGATTCAGCTTTTGATAAGGGTCTGCTTTCTCAGAGACTGTTCATTCTCACACAGTGTATCCCCATATGGTAGAACATGCAACCAAGCACCCTTGGGCTTCTTTTATAAAGGTGCTAATTCCATTTTTCAAGAGAGATTCATTTCCCAAAGTCCTAAACTAGTACCATCACCTTAATGGTTAGGATTTCAATGTTTGAGTTTGGGGAGAACACAAACATTCAGATCATAACAATATATATTTTTTTACCTTTCTGTTCTATAGAAGAGATTTGAATAATTTATTATTAAAAAGAATACTGAAACAAATGTCTAAACTGGATTTAAAAATGTGAATTAAAGCTTTAAATTTTGAATATATTGTATTAATATTCAAAAGTAAAACCTCTCAGACCTTGTTTGCTAGGATTATAGCGCTGAGGGCCTTTTCATAATATTCTCTGTCATCCCAATCCAAATAGGCAGTAGCTAGTAACCGTAGAACTTTAGCCTGCAATTAAAAATGAAATAAAACATTTAGCTGAAGGTTAAACTGCAACACAGCAGCTCACAAGCACTTACATAGTGACAGGCATCTACTCAAATGTGTCTCCTGTATGAAATATCATTCCTTAAGCAACTTCATAGTCTTGAGATACATCTTGTCATTATGGTACCAGATACCAAATATTGTCTATGAATCTTGTAAAGGTATTGTGTCCAACTACAACTTAAATAAAATATTTTTTAAAAGGCAAATAAGGCATGACGATTTTTAATTTAATCAGCTTAAAACCTACCATCTAGGTAGCATTGTTATTAGGCCTACATCAAAAGAGAAAGATATAATATGTCCCTCAAATGCTTTATAGCGTAGTTAAAATCAATTTATTGGATCAGGGCATCCCCAACACCATTTTGGTATGAACAGATAAAACTTCCTATGGAGAGAATTTCTCTCAATTCAGCTACATTTTAAAATAAATAAAGCATCTCCTAATCAAGTCAGTTTCTCCAGCCAGGTCAGTGTTGATAAAACATATAATTCTAGTCAGTGTGGACATGTGCATCTATAGATTCACAATTTGAAAGAACCAGCCCTACTTCAGTGAAATTCCTCTAAGTAAAATGAGGATAGCAGGACCATAGAAAGGTGATTTATTGATTTTTTAAAAAATTAAATTCATTAGTGTTATGCAAATATAGAGAAATATCATTTAGGATATCATATCTCTCATTTTTTAATTCAAAAACTATAATGGATTTAATAAGATATATATAAAGTACTCAATGTCATTATTATTATGAAATAACTCTCTAAGAAGTTATAAGCTCCCTAGAGAACTTTTATGGAATAAATATGGCATTTCTGAGAACTACTGTAGCTACAACTATTTTATAATAATAAAAGGGTCAAATCATCAGAAAGACGAAAATGGATGATTCTCAAAATTTATGTAAAGCAAATGAAATCATATGCAAAACAGCACATACTGAGTGATTCCATTTACACAAAGCTTAAGAACAGCCCAAAATAATTTATAATAAAAGAATAGTGTTAATTTTTCCCTTGAAAGAAATAAATATTGACTAGAACAGGTCCAAGGAAACTTTAGGGATTGATAGAAGTTTCTGTATCTTTATCTCTATGATGGTCACAAGATTATATATTAAAATTCATTAAGCTGTACATTTAAGATTTATGCAGTTTACATAAATTAGACCTCAATAAAGTACTGTTGGGATAAAAGAAAAACTACTTCATAATGTTACCTCACCAAACTTCACAATATGAATATTCCATTTCAATCAGGTTTCTATGCTATTTTCCATCTTCATTTCCTCCTCAGATATTCTCTCATCTAAATCCCTTGCCTCCTGGAATCCTCTTCTTCCTCTTTTCTAACTGTATGATCCCCAAGTACAAAGCCTATTACCAAAAGGCTTCTTCAACTACACTAGTTAACTTTGATGGACAACTTCTACATACTTCAGGTCAGTGTCACAAAGTTTTATCACTTATTTACCCAAATTGTTTCACTTGTACTAGTGCTTTTTAAATCTATGTTTGTAATTTTATTTGAAGTATATACACATAAAAAATTAAAAAATCTTAAGAGTACATCTCTTGAATGTTCACAAAATGAACACGTTTAACAACAAAGAAATCAAGAAACAGCATTGGTTAGGGGGCAGTGGAGCTGCCTACTTAGCTGGGTTCAATTTCCAGCACCAAAAACAAAAAAGAAGGAAAGAAAGAAAAGAAGCAGAGCATTGAAAGCAACAAGTGCACCTCATACTTCTTTTGAGATACTACTCCAAATAAGGATAACTTGATCCCTTGACTTTCAATATCATATATTAGTTTTGCCTGATTTTGGCATTTATACTTCTGGAATCATATAGTATATGTTAAATTGTATCTTGCATTTTTTTTTTTTTGAGACAGGGTCTTGCTCTTGACCAGGCTGGTATCAAACTCCAAGGAAATCAAGGCTCAACTGATCTTCCTGTCTCAGCCTCTCAAGAAACTAACTACAAGCATATGCCACAACATATGCCATGACTAGTTTTTTTTTAAGATTTTTTTTAAGATGGACACAATATCTTTATTTATTTTATTTATTTTTATGTGGTGCTGAGGATGGAACCCAGTGCCTCACATATGGGAGGCAAGCGCTCGACCACTGAACTATAACACCAGCCCACCATGACAAACTTTTATCTTGCTCTCTTTATTCAGCATTACATGTGAAAACATGCGTATTGCTGCAATTACTATAGTACATTGATTATCATTGCTATATAATATTCCATTAAGTGACAATATCACTATATATCACCACATAAAAATGCATAATTATATTAGTATATAATTTTTAATTGTGGTAAACTACATCTTAGCTATTTTTAAGTGTTTTTTTTTAAATTTATTAGTTCTAATCAGTTATACATGACAGTAGAAAGCTCTTCAATTCATTGTATACAAATGGAGCATAATTTTTCACTTCTTTGGTTGTACATGAAGTAAAGTTACACCATTTGTACAATCATACATGTACCTAGGATAATGATGTCTGTCTCATTCCATCTTTCCTACCAATTTTATCCATTTTTATGTGTACAGTTTAGTAGTACTACAAATATTCACCCTGTTATACAACCACTATCCACCATCCATCTCCAATACCTTTTAATCTTGCAAAATTAAAACTCTGTATCCATTAAACAATAATTCCCTATTTCCCCCTCCTCCCAGTCCCTGCCACTATCATTTTACTATCTGTCTCTGAATTTTATGACTACTGTAGGTACCCCATATAAATAGAACAATGTTTATCATTTTGTAAATGGCTTATTTCACATAATATAATGCCCTCATGGGGCTGGGATTGTGGCTCAGCAATAGAACACTCACCTAGCATGCACGGAGCCCTGGGTTCAATCCTCAGCACCACATAAAAATAAATGAATGGAATAAAGGTATTGTGTCCAACTACAACTATAAAAAAATAAATATTTTTTAAAAAATATAATGCCCTCATGATTCATCCACATTTTAAGAATTTATTTCTTATTTAAGAATGAATAATATTTTGTTGTATTAAATAGCCAAACGCTGTTTAAAATGCCTTATATATATTAACTCATGGGTTGATTGTGAAGCTCTGGGTTATATTATATTACCATTTACATTTTATGGAAACTAATGCACTAAGATGTTAAATGATGTGTCCCACAGGTAATCTATTCACAAATGGGGGGTAGAGTATTATAACTTTGTATCAATTCCATAAACTATTTCTTCAATTGACTTTTCCAATATTTATTTTTATTTGGTGCCACGGATCGAACCCAGTGCCTCATATATGCTAGGTGAGTGTTCTACCACTGAGTCACAATCCCCACCCCCCACCCAACTTCTCCAATATTTAATATGATCCTTACCAGCATTTCTGGCCCAACAGAATTCATATCCATCTTCCCAATATCATAGCTTTGGCTATCATTAAAAAGGGAAAAATATATATATACATCTGTGTATGTACATATTTATATTTCAATATATATCATTTTAAAGATTACATATTATTAAGAAGACATAATCATACTTTATTCAAATTTTTCTATTTTGTACTACAAGAGATGGTTAGCCAACTAACATAAAAGTCAATTTTATACAGCAATACTTCCTAACTCTAGAAAAAACACAATTTCCTCAAGAGATAGCCAACATATCAACACTGTGATTATATTAATGCTCTTTTTAATTTGGCTATAAATATATATACTGCATTAAAATAATTTACACATGTATTTAAGCTTTTAGTTAGTGGGCACATTTTGAAGTCTAAGAAATATAAATGCATTTTAAAATAAAATAAATACAGCTGTTATCACAGAAACAAATGTGTTAGCAATATTCATTAAACCTTATGATACCCTTGTGAAGCACTATTGGTTCTATTTTGCAGCTGAATGAACCAACAAAGCAAGAGTGATTTCTAATATATTCTAGATTCGTAGGTAGAATGAGAGCTGAAAAGATAGGGAGTAGAGAAATTTGACTTTCAGTTCTCTGCTTTAATAATTACCAAGACATATTCTCTATTGGACATTCTGATAACCACACACAATATATTACTATGACTCTCAAGATTTCAAAATTGAAAACTGAAAAAGTGAAATAAAGATCATTCACCATTGGTATTCCAGGGGAGTATTTCAATAAATCTTGGTAAATTAAACTAAGTTAAAGACAGTATTTTGAAATACAAAATGTTCTTAAAAAAAAAAAAAAAGACCCAGAATTGAGAAAACAAAGTTTTAGCTTGTTAACAACGATATAATGTTAGCCTAGTCACTGTAAGCCTATTTAATGGGGGTTATGTAACATTAAACTTTCTACTACAAGTCTTTAAAACAACCAATAACAAAGGAAACTTTGGCAATAGTGATTTAAGGAGCTCTTTTGACCCTTCTCCACCTCTGTGAAGTGACCATTCATTTGGAAATTAAGACAAACAACCACATAAAATTGGTAGTGTGTCATAAGGGCATATAGAAATATGGGGAAACATTTGTTCATGAATATAAACGAAATCTCATTAAAAACAGTGAGAATCTGTGTCATTTAAACTACTTCTATCCATTTTGGCTCTATGTGGTGGGTGCAGTCAAGAAGATGGAAATTCTCTCCCCCTCCTTCTCCTGAAATGCTAGGCTCTGGTTTCACCTTAGGAGGGGCTGGCTACCAGCCCTTCTTACCATTCTCAGGCCTGTGTTATGGAATTACTATTCAGGGCAGGCACAATTATGAAGACTTGGCTTCTTTGGTCCACTCAGCTTTCACTCTTAGGCTAAGGACTCTACCATGGGAATTTCAGGTGAAGAATACTGATACCCTGATCACCTTTACCCCAGTTGATTCATCAGGCAGAGCTTCCATGTCAAAACTAAGAAGACTAGAAGTAACATACAGCCAGTATACACTCATAAAGCATGGGTATAATTCTCAGAGAAGCAAGTCACATTCCCAGCTCTAGTCGTGTGGCAGAGAAGTTCTGCCTGGGGAGTGAGGGGAAACAGGCAGTTAAGAGAACACTGAGTGCACCTTGTTGAAAACAATGGAGATCTGGGTGGTGAGCAATTATGAGGAGACTGGCTGGTAGCTCCTCGGTAATCTTGCAACAAGTTAAAGCAGCAGACAAGCCAGAAGGTTAGCACGGAGACCAAGGAAAGAACAAAACAAGAACATCTCTTGGGTCACACTTATCCCTGAGGGCCCAAAAGGCTGTGTATCTGTGCTAGGTTGCACCCACTCAGGCACAATCAGAGGTTGTAGTGAGGCGACTAGAAAGTATTACTGAAAGCATAAACAGATCCATCAGCAAACAGCTTGAGCCTGAGTGGATCGAGGGGCTTAAGCAGAACCTCTGACCAAACACCAACTGAAAATTATGCTAAGATGAAGGGTTACTGTAAGAAAGCTAAGTTTAAAAATAAAATCATCTCATACCTAGAGTTCTGAGACTATATGCCCAAGACAGTGCTTTCTCAAACAGGGAAAGAATCTTACTGAATAAGAATAGTGAATGATCCCCAATCAAAAGTGATGGGCCCTAATTGAGGTCTTGTTCAAATGCAGAACAACACCTGCAGGCTAACCAGTGGAAGTACTAATGAGCAACACCAGGCCTATTTCAAATGTAAAAGGCCTAGAGGGTCACCTGTGGGAACCCCTTCAGCCAACTCCTTTGTCCCAGAGTTGGGAAAACCGGAAGGTGGGGGTGAACCCAGATGGAAATTATAGGAAGGGGATAGCCTTGGTGCTATTTTCCATGCCCTGTTTAACAGCTTTTGTTCCATGCTCTACCCAGAGCCATATGCAAGGTACTAATTTAGCACAGCAAAATGGGTTTTCTGCATGGCGGGAGTTCTCTTTTCTCACTTAAATAAATCCTACTGTGCTTACGTTTTCCTTCCGTGATTGTTCCTGGATTTTACTCTTCAAACTTATGAGACAAGAACCCAGAAGGAAATTGGCATAGCGGGGAATCTAGTCTCATCTCAAAAACTCTGGTTTCATTACTAGTCCCTGCCTGAAAGCCGGGTAAAACAGTAAACTTCCTGAAATGTGAAAACAACCTCTAAACAAACACACATTCTAGAGGAAAGGGGAAAGCCTAAACTGGCTAAGTGGACTTAAGCACAACCTTTGACCAATAACTGGATTACAAGGATGCAGGAGTGACATCTAGGAGGCCATGAAAAGATTAAAAAAAAAAAAGGAGGAATCTGAACTGGGGCATCAGTCAAACGACCAAACAAGAAAATAAAAATAAGCTCAAAAGGGGGAGAAATGGCATTTAGACTTGGTACAATATATTGTTCAAAATGTATAGTTTTTTAATATTTATTTTATAGTTGTAGTTGGACACAACACCTTTATCTTATTTATTTATTTTTATGTGGTGTTGAGGATCAAACCCAACACCTCATACATGCTAGGTGAGCACTCCACCGCTCAGCCACAACCCCAGCCCCAAAAGGTCTAGTTTTAAACAAAATATTACAAGATATGCAATAAGACAGAAAACTGTGACCCATACAGAAGAAAAACAGAAAGCAATAAAAACTTCCTTTACGAATGCCCTTAATGTTGCACTTAATAAAGGCTTCAAAGTCACTACTACAATTCATTCAGAGAACTAAGGGCAACAATGTTTAAAGAATTAAAGGAGTATATGATAGCAATGATTCATCATATAGAAAATCAGATTATAAATATAAATTATAAAAAAGAAACAATGAAAATTCGGGATTTAGAATTTAAGAGGCAAAGCAAACAATAATCAAAATTGAAGACAGATCAATAGATCCTAAAAATCTGAAAAACAAACAGGAAAAAATAAGAAAAATCAACAGAGGCTCAGAGAAATGTGGAACACCACTAAGCACACCAACATATGTGAAATGGGAGTAACAGAAAGAAGAGAAAGGGACAAAACATATTGAAAGAAATAATGATAAACTGGGTGTGGTGGTGCACACCTGTAATCCCAGCAAATCAGGAAGTTTAGGCAAGAGGATCACAAGTTTAAGGCCGACCTCAGCAATTTAGCAAGTTCCTAAGCAACTTAGAGGAGGATCCTGAGTTCAAAGCTAAGTGGACTTAAGCACAACCTTTGACCAATAACTGGATTACAAGGATGCAGGAGTGACATCTAGGAGGCCATGAAAAGATTAAAAAAAAAAAAAAAAAGGAGGAATCTGAACTGGGGCATCAGTCAAATGACCAAACAAGAAAATAAAAATAAGCTCAAAATTGAGGCACTAAGCAACTCAGCAAGACCCTAACTCTAAATAAAATATAAAAAAGGGCTGGGGATGTTGCTCAGTGGTTAGACACCCCTATGTTCAATCCCCAGTACCAAAAAACAGAACAGATACAGAAAACCAATTATTATATGATTCCACTTACATGAAGTACCTAGCCATAAGGAGAGAAAGCAGAATAGAGGTTATTTGGTGGCTGAGAGAAGAAAAATGGGGAGTTATTGATTAATGGGTAGATTATTTCTGTTTGGGATAATGAAACAGTTCTAAAAATTGTTACACCACACTGTGAATATACTTAACGTCACCTAATTATACACTTAAACATGTTTGAAATGGTAAACTTTATATGTGTATTTTACCACAATAAAAAAAAATCAATGGTTAAAAAAGGGAATTAAGTTCTTACACATGCTACAACACGGATGAATATTATGCAAAGTGAAATAAGCCAGACATACTAAAAACAAATACTAAATGATTCCACTTACATGAAATATCTAGAATAGGAAAATTCATGACAGAAAATAGATTACAGATTACCAGTGGATGGGGGAAGTAAAGGAAGGAGAGTTAATGCTCAAAGGTTACAGAGTTTCTGTTTCAGGTGATGAAAAGTTTTTTAAATAGATAGTGGTGAAGTATGGCTCCACAATATTGTGAATATAATTAATACCATTGCATCAAACACTTAAAATGGTTAAAGGGGCAAGTTTTGTTATATGTATTTTACCAAAATAAAAAAATTGATTAATTTTTTTTTAAAAAAATCTAAGTCAAAAGAGATAGTAAAGGGGGGGAAATTAGTTATGAGACATACAAGAAACAAAAGGAAAAATATCAAACATAAATACAATAATATTAATATTAACATTTACTATAAATGGATTAAACAATACGATCAAATGACAGATGTAAGACTAAATTGAAAAAACAAAATCCAACTATATGCTGCCTATAAAAGACACACTTTAGATTCAAAGATACAAAGAGGTTAGAGATAAATGTTGTTTACATAGTATGAACAAAACATACCATGTAAACAACAATAATAAGAGAGCTAGAGTATAAGACAGCTAGAGTGGGTATGCTAATATCAGACAAAATAAACTTCACAACAAAAATGTCAATAGAGATAAAGAGGAATGTTTATAATGATAAATG